GTGTGGGTGTTTCATGAAATTTACCTGTGAAACAACAAAGTCCACAGAATCAGCAATAAAAGGTTCACGAGGGCCATTACGGATTCCTGTTAAGACGTATCGTTTCAACAAAAAAGAGGGGGCCCAACCAACACTGCATGTGGGAAGTTCATCTTAAGAACTCTTTCATATTTACATGAAATATGTAATATTAACAAAGATCGTGCAAGGATAAAAACCAAGAAATAATTGCAGGAACTATATAAGAAGTTAGGGTTTTTAAAGGTTTTGATTAAATTTGATATCCCGGAAATTAAACATAGCAATATATGTGAAAGCAGAGCAAATATACTTCTTTCATCCAAGAAATGCGAGCATACAAGCAAGTCAATAATTTAAAGGGAATTGACTCATTGCAAGGAAACTTTGATCAACACGATTCCACCCAAAAACTGCATGCATGTGGTTATTTAATTTCAAAATTTGGGTGAATTTACAGCCCACTACTGAAGATATTCATTTTTTTCATTTAAATGTTATTTATATTATTATTATTATTATTATTATTATTAATATATATTATTTATTAATATTACAAAACCCAAATGGTGGCCCAGATCAATGAGCCCATAACAAACTCTAATAGATTAGGGTTTTCCTATTCCTCTAACCGCCATCTTCAATTTCAGCCGTTGGATCTGGTTTGATCCAACGGTCCACAGTTTGCCAGAGGAAACCCTAGTGTATCAATACCCTAGGGACACGTCCCAGCGCCGCCGTAGATTCCAGAAGACCACGCGGCGTTGCTTCAGCCTCGCCGCCACTCCAGCCGCACACATGTCGTCCCAACGGTGAGTCACCACTGGGAGTCCGGTGACTCACCAGACTCCATTCTTTTACCCGGTCTGATGGCCACACCGGTGATGGCTATAAAGCCATCACCCCATCTGCGAACAAAAAAGGGAGAACAACAGAGCCAGAGAGACAAAAACCGAAAGCAAAGATACCAAAAAAGAGACCAACTCACAATAACTAGCAACCAAAAACAAAAGAAAAGGGAGGAGAAAAGCTTACCGAGGAAGCTACGACCACCAGACCTCTTCAAACGTCACCAAAACCTTCGAAAACCGAAGGTATTTTTCTTAGATTTGCTCCGATCGGGAGCCGTTTAGAAGAAAAAAACCATCGGAACCGTCATTAGGACGGTCCGATCTATATTTTAGTATAAAAAAAAAAATTTCCGGCCACCAAAGGCGGTGGAAGAACGCCGACGGATGGCTGCCGGTCGGCTAGCTTCTCTCTGTTTTAGAGAGAAGCGAGAGAAAATTCTCTCTCTCAGAGAAGAGAGAGAGAGGAAAAAAACGAGAAATGAAGCTGGCCCTTCGGGCCAGCCGGGTTTGGCTTTAAATAGCCCTTCCCAAACGACGTCGTTTCGGGGAGGGCTATTTGTGTAATTTTTTAATTGTTAAATCCCGTCCGCCATCCCTCAAATTTGTAAACTTTACATTTTAGTCACTAAATCAATTTATAATCCTTTTAATTCGGTTCTTTAATTTTAATTTTATTTATTTTAGTCCTTTATATTAAAATAATATATTTAGGGTAAATAACAGATTTAATCCCTTAATTTTAATAATTAATATTTTAATCCCGAGTTTATATTTTTAATTTATTTTAATCTGATATTCGAATTTTAGATAAGTTTTATTTTAGTCACTAAATTAATAAATAAGAAAATAGCATGTTTAATCCCTATAATTTTGATTAATTATGAATTAGATATTTAATTTTAATTTTACTATAATTTAGTTACCAATTTTAAATATTTTCATATAGTTCTAATTATATTTTTATTGTTTTAATTTTACTTGTTTATATATTTAAATATTTTTATTATTATTATGTAGTCATAAATATATATATAATAAATAATAATTTATTTTTTCAATAAATTATTTTAATATTTATTTTTCAATATCGAAGAAAAGGGCAGTCTTAATACAACTGGATGTCCTATTCTGGTATTTTAAAATTAAATATTATAAAAAATATTATTTAATTTTATTTAAAATTAATATTTATTAATATCAAAGAAAAGAACTGTCTTAAGGCACCTAGAAGTCATTTTCTGATATTTTTAAATAAATAAATATTTTTTATATAATTTTGAAATAATAGGATTATAAATTAAATATATTTTAAATTTTTAAATTTTTAATAATAGAGACAATTTATAATTAAACAAAAAAAAGAGTACCAATTTTGGGCGTTGTTGGGGTGCTAATCCTTTCCTAAACGTAACCGACCACGAATCCCTTTTTATTATTAAAAAGAACGAATTTTTGGTTATAAACGCAGATCAGTTCATTTTTTAATTGATGTTTTCTTAAAACTCTTTTAAAAAATAATTTTTAGGTATTCGACCTACCTGACCCAACAAATGAAGCAAGTTTATAATAGCCTAGAGTTTATAAGAAATGTAAAACATACATAGGTGCCAAAGGCATTGCTGCTGCAAAAGTGCGTGTCCCCAAAAATGTATTCGAGAGAATTAAGGATTTAACACGTCTACGACGATGTTGAGCAAAAAGTTGTGCTAGGAAGCCTCCAAGGGATGTACCATACAGATGTATCTATCAAAGACATGACACTCATGTTAAGCAAGTCTCAAGATAGACTACTGCAACCCTAACCACAAAAGTAGAGCCAGGAAATTAGTATAAGATCTCTCCATTGTAGTACCATGCAGTCTACTTAATATTACAGAAATAAAATAAATGTTGTTTCACTTTAAGCAGGCAACCTATTCTTTGTTCCAGAAACATATAATAGGAATAATAAATATGAAATATCCACTGAAAGGACAAATAAATGATACAATAGGGAAGGCCACAAACATATTAAGGTCTCACATGATGAACATCGATGGCATCCAAGAACTTTTCAAAACTTTGAATCCACTCTTGATGATTCCAAACACAGGGAATGTCGATAGAAATCACCCGGTAACCCTGAACATTTGTGAAATTTAAATTATTAGGCTTAATGAAAAGTGAACATTCTTCACAACAGCCTCATGGTAAATAGTACTTGGTAATAAGCCACACAAAAAATGAAATTCCACCAACCAATAAATGAAACGGGGAAGTTTCACGCTACCTCTGTCTAAAAGAAATTAGGAACTCTACTTAATAAAATGATAAAATTCGTAACTTGCTACAAGATAATGCTGTGAAAACAAAATATAAATATCCACTATATCAAGCAATAAGAGAGCAAAAAATATAGCCTGTGGAAGCTTCCTTCCATTTTTCTCGTAGCTTTTGAGAGATGAAACATCCTCTTTTTGCTCCCAGAGGACTTCTTCCAAGAACTAAAACAGGAAAAAAAAAAAGGGGGGGACGGGGGAAGTATTCACTTTTCAAATATACTTATAATAGATAGCTTACAACCTTCATGGACAAGGACATGATCTGTTTGTAGTAGACATCTGCTGTCCCTGCAGTTCCAGGAAGACATATAAGTGGAGGTACCACTTTGGGACCAAAATCATAAGTGAAAATCGATCCTTCAGATATCAAAGTGAAATCCAATACAGATCTTTTTCCAATTGAAGAGACATTTAAGCTCATATGGATGGCTAATTTACTAAAAAAGGGAATCAACAGATGAAATTGAATTAAGCAAATTCAATCACAGAACAAAGTGTTGCACTTATGCGATCAGAGTTCTCACCAAAACTCAAACAGTAATAGACCTTAGCTAAAACAAAAACAAACCCACTATCACAATAAAGTCATACCATACACCCATAACCAAAATCTTATAAAAATCAACAAAACCAGATATATATGTATGTATGTATGTATATTTGGGGGGGGGGAACTTACGGGGATCTTGTGAAGAGGGACTTGGGACTTGAAATAGACGTAATCTCCGGGCGCCGAGAAGACGCTTTTCATTGCTGAAATCCACTCACTCTACATTCATTCCATTCGGTGTTTTAGATCAATTAAATCGATCGACGATCTCCCTATTTTTATTTGTTTATTTACTTATTTTTATTTCAAGTTTCAATTTCAAATTTGACGAGTAGATGAGAGAAACAACGTGGATGGCCGTTAACATCAATTAACGGAAACGTTTCCCATCTACTGCTCAGCGTTATCTCAAAGGGGTGCGCAGTATAATTCTTTTGCACCGTATTAGTGCATCTTAGAGACGCAGGCATATTCCCTAAATTATTATCATCTCCTTCCCCTATACACTCCATGAAACAATATTTATTCATCTCCCTCCAAATAGAGTAGATACAAGCACTCCAAGCAATCATTAGGATAAGAGAAACAAAAGACTCACCATTAAGAAATGCAGAAGTCCAAGTTGGCTCTTGTTCCCAAACAAGGATCAGTCTGTGCAGACCATAAGCATCCAAAACAGCCCTTTACGTTCCTAGAGAACGAGCAATTAAAAGTTATGTGCTCTTTAGTCTCTACAGCATTTCTACAAAGTATGTATAAATCATTCACCGTCTGAATATCCATACGAGTCGATTTATCTTTTACAATCAATCATCCTAAGACAATCAATCAAACGATAATCGTATGTTTTACCAGGTGATGAGAAAACTATAGCAGCTTGTGCCAATTAATCTTGTCCTTTTTTATTCTAATTTCATTCTGTATCATACGAGTATTTAATTTCCTCAAGTGAAGATCTTCAAGTTGAGTGATTTGTTACAAATTTTCACGCGTCTTCCTTATGAATCTTTACCCTTGGTAAAAGGGTATTTTTTTTTGGGGTAACCAAGTTGTGCGTCTCATCAATTCAATTTTTGGTTTCATTCGAAACCTTGATGGTCCTCATGTTAGTTCGGAATCCAGCTTAGCCATTCTTCAATTATGTTAGATTGTCCCATCCTCGGTGTGTGTGCGTGTTTTTATCAAAACAAAATTCATTAAATTAAACAGCAGAAACAAGTACTGTATCGAACAATAAAAAATACATAAACAGTATAAATCTCTAAATAAACACATCCTGTTCTAATTTACCATCAATGTTTAAAACCTCTGAAATTCGTAGCTTATGAATTACATTACACGAATACTCTAAACTAATACTCGCTCAACCGATCACTTCAGTACAGTGCTATAGAGATAAAGAGTAAGAAGAAGATGGTAAGTCCAGTCAATGATATCCTGTCAGCACCACCATCTTGATTTACAGCTCCTCGTCCTACCAAAATAACAATCACCACATTAACAAAAGTCTGCCTGAGAATCACCAGGAAGTTCTACGGTGGGGTAGTTTTGTGGGATAGTTTTAATATACGGTTAAAAAATATGTTACCGGTTTTATTATTATTTAAATAACAAAACCGGTAAAAATGACCAAAAATATTATTATTTTTACCAATTTTAATTACCGATATAGGTCAATACAGTAAAAAATCCGATAAAAAAAATAATATTTTAGATAACTCTTTACCAAAAATATTATTTTTTTACCAAATTTTTCTATCGAGTTTACCTATATCGGTAATTAAAACCGGCAGAAATAATAAATTTTCAGTTATTTTTTACCGATTTTATTATTTAAAATAATAACAAAACCGATAACACTTTTTTAACGGTATATTAAGACTGACACTAGTTAGCATTTTCCCAAAATCACCACCAACTCCTTTTTTGACATTTATGAAAGCTTCAATTATGTGCCCCCCCCCCCCCCCCACAAAAAAAAAACATTACAAAAGTCATTTTTAGTCGGTCCATCAGTTCACACTTCACATGTTTTATCCTTCTAATAATTAATGATAATAAAAGATGAAATATATTTTATTTAATAAAGTTCAATATTTCCTCCGAATTTAAATACTAAAACAATTATAAATTTAAGATTAAAATACATCAATGATCTCCTAACTATATGATAATATTTTGTTTAGTCCATCAACTATTAAAAGTTACAAAATTATTACTCAACTATTCATATATTCCAAATTCATCCTTTTCTATTAAAAAATGAATATCATCTAAATTGGACATTAATATGTTGACTAAAATATAATAAAATCTAATCACAAAATCGATTGAATTGTATAATCGTTTGAGAAATCAAATTTATCATATCTTAGTCAATAGCATAACGTCCAACTTAGATAAACGTTAATTTTTAATGTAAAAAGACGAGTTTGAAACATATGAATAATCATTTTATAACTTTTAATAGTCCAGAGACTCAACAAATAAACACATTATAGTCAAATGATTATTTTATAACTTTAAATAATCAAAGAACTCAACAAAATATTGTCATATAGTTAAGGGATAATTTGTGTATTTTACCCTAAATTTAATTACTAATAAATGAACATCCTATATGTGAATTCATTTTAATAATTTATTATCCATACACATCTAGGGATGATTATGAGTATGATCGGATCAGATTTTTTATCTAATTAAAAATTGATTCGAGTATTATATTTTTTTCATCTATTATAACCTACATTTTTAGATAAAGATCTACGTCGACTCAATATAAATATACATAAATAATTATTATAAAATAAAGATTTAATTAAAATACATATATATAATTTTAACCTCAATCATTAATTATTGATTTAAAATTATTCATTAATTATATTTTCTAGTAATAGCAATGAATTTTAGTTCCATCCCTAAAAAATAGCTAATAATTTAACAATTTCAAATATTCAAAAATTGCAAATTCGATCTGCTGTGATCTCTAATTGTATTACCTGGTGGAGACGGAGGAGAGGTCGGAGAAGTGGCTGTAGAAGAAAAAACAAAAAGCATGAGATGAATTAATTACTCTATTAATCGAAACTACAAGAGAATTTAGATTTAGCGTATATTTCAAAGAGGAACAGATTGAATCGAGACGAAACATAGAGGATTGTTAACCAAATCTTCATCCAAAAAAATAAATTATAAAATTGAAGGCAAACTTACAGTTGTTGCAGTTGCTTAGATCAGTACCGACGCCGCATTCACGAGAGACCCTGAGAGCATCCGAGACGTTGATGTGAAGAGAAGGGAGAAAATTAGGGTCCTTGTAGAGATTGCAGAGACAGGGAAGCTCGGTTCTAACAGCTTCTTTGATAGGGTTACAGCAGTCGTCTCCGGGTTTGACGGTGGCGTTGTTGATGTAAGCAGCACAACCCACCAGCTTCTGCGCGCAAGTTGCTTGCGCGTCCGTCACGGTTGCCGTCGACACCACCGCCAGAAGAACCGCCATGATCAGGAACTTAGCCATTTGGGGAATTCAGTTCTACTTTGTTTTTCCTTTTCCCCTGGCTGTTACGTTTTAGCTTAAATAAAAGCAAAACCTTTTTCCGTCGATTTCTTTGATCAGTGGAAGTGATATCCAGGCTGGGCCGGAACTCGGTCCAAACAAGTTTAAAATACTTTTGTCCAAGTTTTACTTGACAAAAAAATTGTTCGAAGGCCGGTCTGCATAGTTCGACTCGGTTCAAAAGCGTTAGTTTTGTGAAACCCTTTGATCACGGCTTTAATCATAATAAAATCAAGGTTAAAATTTACCATTAGTCACTAAATTTCAGATTATACATCGAATATAAATTAAATTTCAAAAAATTTTAATTCTCATAATGAGTATTAGATTGTGTTTTAACTAGGATAATGAAATGTTAAATTATTAATCACTCTGATTATTTTTATCACTCAATCGTCATTTGTCACCTATCATCATTCAAGACAAAATCAATATCGGAACATTTATATTTCCTTTCGTATCTTTTTATCATCAAATTGGGTTCTTATGAAACATATTTAAACTTGATAAAAATTCACTTAAATATTCTATGTTTTAATGCTTTGTTATCATTTGAAGGTTATCTGATAAGACTAGTTTTTTAAGTATTTTATTTATGTTTTCAAAAGAATACTTTTCACTATTTAAAAACCTCAACAAATGATGAATTTTTGTGTTTAATTTCATAAGTTTATAAAGAAGTTTGAAAAAACCTAGCTAATAAAATCATAGAGTGCGATAAATAAATTTATTAGTGTCTAGAACAGTCGTAAAATATATTTGAGAAAGACGATTTTTCAAATACGATTGAAAACAGATAAAAAAAAACACTTATTTTTAATGAAGAAGATGATAAAATAAAATAAAAAATTATTTCTTTATTTCTACACGCCAACACAATCAACTTCCATGGCATATAAGTATTAATGGTTTAATGATCTTATACCTTAATTGAAATGTAAGTTTAATAATCAATTTATAATAATTTAATAAAATTTATCGATAAATTTAATAATAATTCAATAATAATTCAATAAATTTAATGACTAAAAGCATAGTTTAAACGCAGTTCAATGACCTTGTTATACTTTCTTTACCCGTTAACATATTTTAGAAAGCAATCATTCCAACGGATAAGAAGCCAACGAAAAACCAGTAGCAGAGAAAAAGCTTGTATCAAACGACCGCTAACAATGGTCACTCTCTCAATCGGCATCGCCACCCCCGTTGCGACCTTCCGTTCGACAAAAGTAACACGAACCTGCTTCAATTTCAAAGTCTCCTGCGTCCAATGGGTAAATACTTACATAAGATTTTCGGGTTTTTTTTTGTTACGGTTTGATAAAAAGTTGAAGCTTCGGATTGAAATCAATTCTTCTTCTTCTTCTTCTTTTAATCCAAGGAAGGACCCGGAAGGTATTTTAGGAAGACCGCAGACAGGACACTTGGCTCGTCTCGAGTTCAGAAGGCGGCTTGAGAAAGACGCAGAGGCTCGAGAGGCATTTGAGCAACATTTAAGCCAAGAGAAGGAACGTCGCCGAACTCTTCGCGAAGTATAATAGTTGTGCTAAATGTTTTTTTATCACAATTTATTAAATTGGTTTTGTTTTGGGTGTTTTAATCTTCTTCTTCTTCTTCTGGTGGTGGTTTCATTATTAGTCCAGGGAAATACCCGATACTGCAGAGGAGTTGATTGAATACTTTCTTGACACTGAAGCTCAAGAGATCGAGTTTGAGATTGCAAGATTAAGGCATCGGTTAGTCCTTTAATTTTGTATGTGTAGACACCCGTTTTTGTCCGGGTCTTTTTTGTATATTTATTATTATCGTTATTATTATTATTATTTATTATTATTATTTTTATATTTATATTATTATATTTTTACATATTTTTGCAGGCCAAAGCCCAATACAACAAGGCCCAACCGAGGCTTAACCCGAGCCCATCATATGATAACCCAACAAAATTAGGGTTTTAAAACCCTAAATCATCATCAGCCGCCGCCAAGTTGCACTTCCCACCGCCGTCGTCACTGCTGCCGGTCCATCTCATCGTCGCTGTCATCATTAACAGAGGCCGAACAGTGATAGAAACAAAAAAAAAACAATCAACAGAAACCAAATCAATATCAACTTATCATATACAGTAGCCTAAATCCGAAAACCCATTAAAATAACACCCAAAAATCCCGAAAAATCTGGACTTTATTCACCCAAATCAGAGAAATCAAATCCTATCCATAGACCTCATCATCTCACCAAACGAAGCAAAAAAATCAACATGCAAAGCAAGATAAAAGGAAAGAGCAAAGAGAACAGAGTGGAGGCGGTGAGAACAAAAAAAAAAAAAAGAGAGACCATTCGGGTTTTACAGAAAGAAAAGAAAAAAATCAAAGGATAAAAACAAAAGGAAAGAGAGAGAGAGAGAAGGTCTCACCGTGGGTTCGAAGCGGTTGGGAACACCAAGAGTCGCCGGATTCTTGTTGCTTCGAGAGGTAATAACCTAAGATTTAGGGGTCTAGCTAGGTTTTTAGGCTATAAAGTTTAAGGTTCTGGTTCAAGGGAGAAGAGAGGATTCGTTTGGGCTCATTTTCACTTCTCCGGCCGCCGTGCGCAGCCGTCGGCCCCGCCGTGGGAGCCTCCGGCCACCGTGGCCATTCTCTCGTTGTTTGAGAGAGTTGGGAGAGTTCTCTGGAACTCTCTCTCTCTTCATTTGTTAAAATGAAGCAGAAATGAGGGGAGAAGCCGTTTTGGGGGCTTGGGTGGGGAGCAAAACGCAGCTGTTTTGGGCACCCCATTCCCGTGTTTTCAGAGTTTTAAAGGGCTAATGGCGTGTTTAGTCCCTGCAGGTTGAGAAACTCACCCGTGTCTCTCATATATTTAGGGTAAATCGCACTATAGGTCCCTTGCAGTTGTAATCCATTTATTTCAATCATATACTGAAAAGTTTGCTTTATTATATTTTGAGCACTTATGTTTCTGTATTTCCATTTTAGTCACTGTTTATTATTTGATTTAATTACTGTTCGGCCCTCTATGTTTCTGTTGATATTTTAATTTGGCCTTAATATTTATGCATGTTACATTTTGGTCAATCTTACAGTTTATGTATTTTGTATTTTGTATACCATGTTCATATAGTTTGTATTTTGGTCACTAGATCTTCTGTTGCTAATTTTTATAAATTTGTACATTGTATTCTGCAGTTATATATATTTTATTTTAGTCCTATTATTAAATGTAATGTTATTATAGTCATACTTGACTTTGGTCCCAATGTTTGTAATAATTTCATTTTAGTTCTCTATATTATTTTTGGGTTATCTTCATTTTGATACATGTATTATTTAATATTTGTAATTCGGACTTTGGTTTTTACTGTTTAGTCCCATTAGTTTTTATTTCTTTATTTTGGTCCCTAAATTTCTTTTTCTTCTGTTTTTAACCTATTCAGTTTCTGTATTTGCTATTTACTCCCTTAAATTCTTGTATTTACTATTTCAGTACATCAAGTTTCTGTTTTTCTTCCTTTTGATCCTTGTAATTACAAATATTTACCTTTTGATAATATTATCTTGGTTTATAATTTTTTTTTGTTTATTTTAGTCATTTATGTATGATTTTATTGCACTTATTATTTGGGTTGTTTGAAGTATGTAAATGATGTTTTTTAGTAATGTAAATATTTTATTTTGTATTTCCAATTACATTTATTTTCATTATATTTTTATCTATATATGAAATATTCGACTATATTTTCAAGAACACGTATGCATAGAATGGGCGGGGAAAGTACCACTTGGTCGAAGTGGTACGATCCGATACGGCATTTTAACGACATAGGAACTTGCAACAAGTCGATTATATTTTACTAATTAATTTATTTTAATAATGTAATGTGTGTTTTTTATTAATATTTATTTCATTTTTATTTGAATGCAAACGTAAATTTCATTTTTATTCGATTCACATTTTATCAAGAGGGAAATATTCTTTATGGATAAGAAATAGTCGAGTTAACTTTCCCGATGGAGGATTACTAATTTCGATATTTCTTTTCGAGTTAAAGAATTTTCTGTAAATAATTAACTCGAAGCAAATTGATTAAATTTCAATAAATGGATCGTAATTTAACTTTATATTCGATTTATAATTTCCATCATCACGACGATATGTAAGCGATACAGTACCAATTTTGGGCACTGTGGGGGTGCTAATCCTTCCCCACACATGTAACCGACTCCCGAACCCATCAGATCGATTTTCTGGTAAACGTAGACCACTTTTGTCTTTAAAAATGATTTTTCTTAAAATTATTTTGAAAGACGTTTTTAGGTATTCGACCTGCCTAATCTAAAGGTCGATTGGCGACTCTTTTCAATTTTATTCAAATCAATTCAAAATCACCCATTTTTTTTTAAAAAATAAAGTCGTAATCGTTTTTTTAAATAATATTTAATTGTTTCACAAAAAAATGGTTATGACAGCTTGGCGACTCCGCTGGGGAGTTTTTTAGAGAGTCAGGCTGTACGTCGTTTACATATTGTCATCTTGGTGGAAATTATGATTTCTAGTTTTTAGTTAATTTATGATCCGTTTATTGAAATTTTTAATTGCTTCGTTTTTTGTCGTACTAACATTTTATTTTTGGCTTTCAGCTTTGTCAGGATTTTATCATTTTTCCTTGTTTTGTTTTCCTTTTGAGTCGAAGGTAGGTATGTTCCTCCTCACACACATCACTCGCATTGGCATAAACATAAGCTCTAGACACGAGCTTCGATCCAAATTAGTTAGGGTGAATGCTTTACTCTCGTAAGAATTTATTCTTCGTATGAGTTTTAGCAAATAACCCATGGGATACATACCTTATACCTTCGTAGGAATTTATTCCTCGTATGGGTATAAGGCAGTGAATCCCCTCGAATTGAACTCGGTCCGTTTGAAACCTGTAATGGGTAAGGATTGAGGGTCTGGCAGCCCAAGGGGGCACCGACATCAAGGACAATTCGAGTCCCTTTTTTCCGTTATAGCCGAAACCAAGCATATAGTGAGCCGTCGAACGATCACCCTAGGTATAGTCATACCGAACCTTTGTTCGTCGGTAGGTACCCAAAATAGGTGTACACGAAGGAGGAACGACTCTAAACCTTAACCTTTTAAATTTGTAGAATATATTTTTCCGAATAAAGCATGCGAACTAGATACCATGCAGTTAAGACCAATTTCTTGAAAATAGATCATTTTGGGTAGATAGCATGTCCGGGTAGGATTGTTATTTAATTGAAAGCATGTTTGGGTAGATATCATGACGGGGTAGGTGTTATATCCATCTCTGAATTACATTTTTATTTGTATCAATTATTTTACATTTACTAACTTATTTTTCTCTTTTGTTTGTGTATACTAACTTATTTCTTCTCTTTTGTTTGTGTCATTTTGTCATTTGCATTGCATTGCATTGCATCATCATAATGCAAAAGTGTTGATCCGTAAGGGGATATTCGAGAGAAAATTTTCACAAGAAGAGATAAAAGTTTTCAATCAAGCGATCGCATACACAGACATGCATCGAGGGCTAAAAAGAAGTCCAGAGTACAAGAATGAGATTTTCTCGAAGATCGTGCATCATTCGAGACTGATATGATAATCCACTGATCTAAGGAGTAATCCAGCAGTAGATCCTCATCCACAATTATTCCATCGTTAACCATCAGGGAGTGAAGCACAAACTTCAGCATAGCCGAGGCATTAACGGAGTCAGATTACAGAGCGCTTGAGGGGCATCATTATTGAGGACGAAGATCCGGTATGAAGCAGTGATCCATTCCAGGCTCACCATCTAAGCGAAGACATGTCTGTAAAGTGGACTGTCTTGTAATGTGAAATTTTTTATCTCTGGTGGGAATTGTTCTACGGTATTTATCGTTGGGATCCACATTTCTGCATTTGCATTTGCATCGTTGCATTTTGCATAACATTCATTTAAGCATGTTTACATGCATTAATCATACCTTGCTGGAAACTTTGAGGAAGCACTTCTAACTGTGCAATTGCATTCACACAGTACTGAGAATGGATGCAAAATTTGAGGAATTAAAGAAAGAGCTGAACGAGAGTTTGCAAAAGATGCAAGTTGAGTGGGAGGTTAAAATGGAGCAGATGCAAAAGACCACCGTGGATCGTATCTTACAAAACCAAAAGACCTAGTTGACCAAATGGTAGCAAAGATGGCTGAGCTCAACCAAGAAAAGGCAAAGAAAAGATTTCATTAACCCGTGAAACAGTTAAATGTGTGAAAGCACAGGCTAGTTCGCAACCAATTATCTCGCCCAACAGGATTTCTAGTCACCTAGCGACGAGAAGAGCCAAGAACGAGATCCCAGATGATTTGAAACAGTGGTGCAGAGAGACATTACATGGAATGAGAGGACAAAACTCTCACAACGGGATGGATGCAACAGAACTAGTACTAGTTCCTGACCTGGTGCTCCCGCCCAAATTCAAGATGCCCGAGTTTGAAAAGTACAGGGGAACCAGTTGCCCCAATGCCCACCTCACGATGTTTATTCGAAGAATGACTGGATACACTAACAATGATCAGATGTTGATCCACTGCTTTCAAGACAGTTTGATTGGACCTGCTTCAAGGTGGTACCACCAACTGAGTCGTTCTCAAATCCGCTCCTGGAGGGATTTGGCTAGTGCTTTTCTGGGCCAATACAAGCACATGATTGATATGGCCCCCGATCGAACAATGCTTCAGAATATGGGGATGAGGAA